TTCTTGGAAATATTTCTCCCTGCTCCCCTCTAAATTGAACCCTCCCTTGAATCACAGAAAAAGCTAACAAAAGAACATAAAATACAGGGACCATATTTGATAATAACATAAAACGTTCTGTTTTAGTCACCTGCCTCTGTTGAAAGAAGGGAGATAGGTAGGTTTCATTATCTTTTCTCTGAACTTTTTAAAAAATAACATTTTTAATGGATAACTTTTTATATTACCCAGATTTTTTTTCCCTGTATCCTTTTTTACTTTTTCCTTCCTGCATTTATTTTGATCTTAATGATTTCATCCTATTTATCCTCCCATTCATTGCCAAATTCTTGAAAGTGTACATTTGTTGCCTTGATTCCATTAGTCCATTCTGTCCCCTAATCCTGGGAGGCAGCTAGGTGGCTCACTGGATAGAGTATTGGACCTGGAGTCAGGAGGATTTGAATTCAAATCTTGTCTCAGACACTTACTTCCTGTTTGATACTGGGCAAGTCATTTAACCTGTTTGCCTTAATCCACCAGAGAAGGAAATTAGCAAACCACTCCAGTTCCTTTGTCACAAAGAATCAGGTACTACTTGATAAATCTCTAATCCTAGAAATCTGTCTTCTATCCCCACCATTCTTCTGAAACTACCTCAGGAAAGTTACCAATTACCTTATCAAAATAAATATCCTTTTTATTGCTTATCCCTATTAGTTTAATTCTGATCCTTGACTTTTCACCTATATTTGAAGCCACTGACATGTAATCACAATTTTTTTCTTTAACTTCTTTTTCACATCTTATTCTACCTGCTCTTCTCTCTCAAATTATTATCTGCTCATCAATATGCATGTGAAGCTTTCTCACCATCTTTGCTCTTTTTTCCCTTAAGACCTCCCACATAAGCCTTCCTGACCTCATAGATTGATTGATTTTACTTGGATGACTCCTGGGTATTTAATCTCCAGCCTCAGTCTTCATTCAGTTCTTGATCTGTATTTTCAACTCTGCACTATTATGTTTTGATACACATATGCCTCTTAACACCTTAGCCTCAGAATGGTTCAAATAAAACCTATTTTTTCATCCAAAATCAGCTCCTCTTCCTAACTTTGTTATTTACATCAGTATCAGTATCCTCCAGATCACTGTGGCTCAAAGCTTCCTGAATCATCTTGATCTCTTTCCTCTACCTCAATGCCTGCCAGGGGTGGGGAACCAGCAGTTCCTTTTAGGGATTTGTTCTGTGAAGTTTGGATTCAATCAAAGGGCTGCACTTGAGGAACTAGATGGCCATATGTAGCCTCCAGGCTGAAGGGCCCCCCCCATGTCAGTTACCAAGTCATGTGAATGCATCTGTCTCTTTCCATTCCTAGGGCCACTTTTAATCCAGATCTTATTACCCTAATGTCTGGACTGTTAAAAAAAATTGTAAAAACAACCTAACTGAACTTCCTGCCTCTGGTCTTCTCCCTTCCCCTGGAATCATATTTTAGAACTGGAAAGAACTTTAAAAGGTCATTTTATACTGATAGCTTAACTTCATTTGAGTAAAGCAGAGCATCAGAGAAAACTAGTTGTGGAAATTACAAGAACATTCAAGTGATTTTTTTTCCCCAGCAGGCCTAATTTTTGTTGAAGCTCAATATGTTATTTAGTTTTCACTAGCAATTTTCTGAAGAAAAATTCAACTTTTTGAGGAAATTAGGATGTCTAAGGCCAGGATGGTGTTCTGTGTCAATTTCATAATTCTAGACTGGGATGAGTGAAAGGGCAAAAAACTGCTTTTACTCCTATTTACCTTTTGTCTTGCCCCACATTTGTATATCTATCCATTAAGTAATAGATACTGTTATTTTCTATTGTAAAATTGGTTTAATCTCTCCTCTAGGGAAGTTCCCATTTAGGTCACTCTGGAAATCCCCTTTTCCTTTATTTCCTCTCCTGCTCAAGTCTGTAATACAGTTCACCAGATTTAAACATTAACAATAAACCTCGAAATCTGAAATACTGTAAGACATCCAAATCTGCAATACCAGTGTTCATAAGTAGTTTGTTACTTATTTTGAATCTAAAACTGAATAAACGTGTTGCTACAGCAAAATAGCCTTGGTTGAATTAGCCCCTTGACAGCTGTAATACTTCTTAGGGAGGGAAAGTCCCAGTGCTGAGCTAATGATGCATTAGGAGTGTTTGACCAAAATATGGTATAATAAGCTTAGAAGAAAATAACTTTCAAATATCACATGCTCCTATAAAGTGTAAATATGAGAGTTGATTATTAGGAATCCTGGTAAAGAGAATGGGATCAATTAGGATTACGATCTTAATTTCCTGACTTTTGATTAAACCACAAAGGTGGCCATAGTGGTTCCTACTGTAGTGGAGGGATGAGAAAAATGGTTGGTTGTCTCTCCCTCCCTGTACCCCCTTACTGTGTACTGAAGATGGATGGCTTGAAATCTATGGCACCAATTCCAGCCCTAAATTGTCCTCTTCTTTTTTTTCCTGTTCCTCCTTACAGGTAGCAGAACAACATTTGGGAAAGATGTAGACCATTGTAGAACTGAACCATTACAAATTTTGAACATTTTCAACTTGACTCATGAAGCTGCTCATAAATCTTTTCATTATCTTTCGTTAATGCTTTTAATGCATTTATGAAAGAGGACTCAGATGTTTTATTCTTTCACTAAGTCCCCAACTATTAATCCTACCCTACTCATTCCCAGAAGATCATCATCTCTTTTATGGGAGTTATCAAGGCTGTTTGCAATTCCATTCATCATTTATTAAGGATTTACTATTTGCCAGTGACTATGCTAGGCCATGGCAATATGCTAGCCTATGCTAGGCAAAAACAGAATTGACTTGCCCTACACTGATCTTGCAAAAGTTTTACATCACCTGTTCGTTTATTTTCCCCTCGGTCTCCTGGAGGAGTCAAGATGAGCTTAAATTTATTTTAGAACCCTATGTATCATTCAGGTCAGCCTGAATTGCCCCCATACTTAACAGAGTAATTTCTAACTACATGCTTTACGCTGTTCTTTTCCCTTTCCCTCCTCAAAAATTAATTCCATAAAAGACCAGCTTCAAGCCCCAGCTCTAAGAACGCTTCCACGTGTACAGAGACTGGGGTCCATCACACCAGTTTCTCTCGGGCTGCACACATTGTATTTCCTTAAATTTTTGAAGCTGAGATTTACTCCATATAGCAGTAGGTGGCGCTAAATCGACAAAACAATATAAAATAGTGAGGGCTATTTAGATGAAACTTGAGTGGAAGTTTTAACTTCTCTTGAATGACTTCATTTTTGGCCCAGCTCGCCCTGCTGTTATTAGCTACATTCTAATAGTGTCCAAACTCTTTTTCTCCCATGCTCAATTTTAAGGAGTTCCAAATCCAAAATCTGGACTTACTTGGATTTGAATAACCAATAAATTCACCAACTATTAATCACCTACTCCCTACATGTGAGGAACTATGCTGGTATAGTAGTGGGGAAGGACGAACACAGAGAAGTATACAATCCAATGTAGAGATTGGGGAATTTGGAGAGGGATGCTGAGAGATCAGGGGGAGAAGATTTACCTGGATGTCACAGTGCTGTCCCATTTAGTAAAGCCAAAAAATCCCACTTAGAGGACAAATGAGGATGCATTTATGATAGGACTAGAGAAATCAGTAATTTAAAAACATGAGCGATCTGATGGATAAAAAGTGTGCCTGAGGAACAGATGCCAAAGTGACTATTTTCCAAAAGAGGGCAGGAGAGCAGAATTTTTTTTTAATCTGAAACCTCCAGCACCTCCCACTGAGAAGTGCGAGAAGCAGCCAAGTTCACGCTTCAGATAATGCCTAGAGCAACAGATAATAAATACACAAAGCTACTTTGATCCAGCGCTTTCTCCCTCACTAAGCAGTGGTCATTGCTAAGGTGCCCCGCTACCTTCTTGGAAATTGATTGTTGCTAAGCAGTTAACTTGTAAAGCTTCATTCCTCCAGGCAGTTCTCTCTGACGGACTTGAGAGAGGAACGCCAAGAAACCTATTTGTCAAGAAAAAGCGTCCCCAGTTATTTTTGTAAGGAAAAGGTGCGTTTCATTCCTTGAAGCCTTGAGGTGGGGAGAAGTGGAGTAGAGGTGTTGATTCTTAATTTTTTGATCGAGGTGGGACGGGGCAGAAAGTAGCTTCAAGAGGCTGAATAGAGAGAGAATACAGCTATCTCAAAGTATAACTTAGTCATAAACAACGTAATGGGCAGATGAACAGCAACTTTTTAATGGTACTTTTTTTTAGCTACCTATTTTTAATTCCAGAAAATTCCGTTGTCCAAGGTATATAGGCACTTATTTTGTGATTCCACGTCATGGTTCAAAGCCTCATATGGACTGACATACGGGCCTCAATTTTCAAGCCTTGCCTACGGCAAGGCCCACAAATTCAAGGTCCTAGCTTTGCTGCCATCTAAAGCCCTCTGCTTACCTTTGGCAATGAATGCAAATTCAGAGAAGGAATGTAGGGCAGCCGCAATTAGTTAAGCATCGTACTGGGGAAAGACTTTCAGTCTATTGATTAGGTGTCCTTCATCTATTCTGGTAGAAACCTAAGTGGCTTTCTAGAAGTTCGTTGTAATACGAGGTGCACGCCTTACGAGAGCTGAGCAAACCTCGGAGCTGTTTAACTACTTTGTACTTATTTATTCGTGCGTTTGGGGTGCGGTTTAACCTTTCCCCTTCTGCCCCCTATTCATTTCCATTTCATTTCAAGGAATATTCGCTTAGTCATGTCTTGACCTCGGCTATGAATTCTAGCCCAGAGACATCCGAGCGCTTTGCTCAAAAAAACAAACCAACCAGAACTCCAGTCGCAGGCTGGAGCAAGGAACTCGAAACGGCAAACCTCCCCCACACTCCGCTTCCCGGCCTCGCGCACAGGCGCAGGCGCCGGCCTAGCGATGCGGGGGCCCAAGCCTTCCACCTCTTCCCCCTCCCACCCGTCAGCCTCTCGACGCATGCGCCCTCTCTGCGGGCCGGAGAGGAGTCGGCTGGGAAATGGCGGCCGCGGGGATAGTGGCTGTTACTGCGGCTGCCGAGAACTCGGGACTAGCGGCGTCAAGCAGCAGTTTCTGCGGGGTAAACTGCGGCCCAAGTCCCGGGACGGGCCCGGGTCCGGCCTCGTGGAGCCGTTCTCTCGACCGGGCCTTAGAAGAGGCGGCAGTAACGGGGACGCTGAGCCTGAGCGGCCGGAAACTGAGGGAGTTTCCCCGGGGAGCGGCCAACCACGACCTGACGGACACCACCCGGGCGGGTGAGCTGGGGCCGGGGGTGACGGAGGGGGGCGCATCGCCGCCGCGCGGGGGGTGACGGGACGGGGCGCTGCGGGCGGGGCCGGGAAGGGGGGCCAGAGGACCGGAGAGGAGGGGGCGGGCGCCCGCTGGGAGGGAGTGTGGGGGGGACTCCGGGGTTCCAGAGACGGGGACTCGGATAACGGAGCCCCGGCCGAACTGCCATGGGACTCCTCTCCTCCCCCGGAGGGGCGGGGGCGGCGGCGGCGGCAGCGAGCCCGTCCTCCCAGCCCCGAGGGGCCCGTAGGGACCGGACAGCATCCTTTGGGTGAGAGGATGACTGGGTGTGTAAATGTAGGAAGGCACGGGGCGGGGATTGGTGATTTCCTACCTTCCTTCAGAAAGTTGCTTCCTAACTTCCACTCCCAGAGGTCTGTTTTTTTTGGGGGGGGAGGCCACCCCTGTTCAGTGGCTGCTGAAGCTGTAGGCTTTGGGGGAAGTTTTGATTAAGACCTGGGGGGCCGGCTGGTTGTTGGTAATGGCCCGACTGTGGGGAATGGGGTACCTGATACCCTCTTCCCATTGCACACTACTCTGCCTGGGAATCTCTGCAAACTCACAAGAAGGAGTGTGGTTCAGCAGCAGGTAGTTCAAGAGTTGTACTAGGTAAAGACTTACATCTGTGTGGCCTCGTTTAGGTAAGTTGCTTTAGATCAGTTCTTAACATGTTTCAGCTCCTGGCGGTCTGGGTGAATTCCTTCTCATTATGTCACTAAACGAATAAAATTAAAACACAGAGTAAACTGAAAAGAAAATTAATTGAAATACGATTAAAAAACAAAAGTTCAGGGACTCCAGGTTAAGAACCCGTCCTAGACTGTGTTTAGGAACTCTTTTAAGACTGTTACTGTATCCTTGCTGTCATCGCAATGAGGTGGTGGTGCTTGTGGCCATCGGGAGGCATTTAGCTTAAAAAAATGTAGTTTTTCATCTAGGGATCTAGATGAAATTATGCATTATATTTTTTATAGATGTCTTCTGCAGTTTCTTAGAAGCCTAATGTGTCTGGTAGTGGCAGGTTAAATATACCAGGTTTTCCTTGTTTAAACTGTAACATCCTCCTAGAGTAGATTTTTTTTAAAATGGATCCATTCATGGGTTTGAACAGAAAACTTGGCCTCTAATCTTCACTTATTATTATGAATTCCCTGCACAGCTGTGTTTGAGGAAATTAAATGTGCTTTATTTTTTGTAGGGTATTATTGGTCACAAAAGAATGAATAACACTTTGCTTCTTATTCAAAATGGAAACAATAGTGTGCATCATTTATTAATGGAGAGCCTGACAGTCTGCTTATTTATATTCACTTATGTCTGAACAACTTACACAAAAATCTATTGTTAGATTTTGTGCAATTTCTATATTTGGTACAAACTCATTGAACCTTGACAAATGATATGAACTACCACTGATGTTAGAAAAGTGAGCAAAACAAGACTAATATAACTTAGTGTTTATCCATGGAAATTAGAGGAAAGTTTTTAAAACACTAAATCAGTTTGTTACGTGATACTCATGTGTAACTCTGAATCTTGGTGGTGGCTGTGTCAGTGATAAGGAATTAGGTTGTGCATTTGCTTTTCCTTTTTATTCTGTAATTTGAGTATCTCACATAATATATGTAATTCTTATTTCTGCTTACTTCATCCTGTACTACTTTCTAGGGGGAATTGAACACTTCATCAAGCAGCAGTTTGTATGTAATTTATATTTTGTAAATGATCAGTCTTAAAATTGAAAGTTGCTTGCCCTGCTAAACCTGAGCAGTTACTGGCCATACACCTGCTTATTGAAAGACAGCATCTAAATCTGTGACTCATGTGTACAGTTTCTGTATTTTATTACAAAGGTAACTTCCTGAGGTAGTAGTGATCATGATCCTATCATTTCAGTATTGCTTCATTGATCCTGAAGCTAAGGAACATGTTACTTAAAATTTTTTTACCTAATTCATTGTCTTTACTACTTTGAAGTAATTTTTGGAGGTCTTCCTTGAAGTTTTAGGAAATGTATTCACTTGGTGAAAGCAGACTTCAAATCCTTTGTTGATAGGACACTGCTTAAGTAAAAGTTTTCTCTTTTAGAAGTACATTCATAATCAAGTTTAACTTATTACATTTTAAATTCATAAAAATGTTTTTCTAGAGGCAGCTAGCTGGCGCAGTGGATAGAGCACTGGCCCTAGATTCAGGAGGACCTGAGTTCAAATCCAGCCTCAGACACATAACATTTACTAGCTGTGTGACCCTGGGCAAGTCGCTTAACCCTGCTGCCTAATCCCCCCCCCCAAAAAAAGAAAAAGAAATCTTAACAAAAATGTTTTTCTACATTTGGGCCCTGTTGTTGATACTTTTAGTCTAACACATACCAAAAAACCCCAACCTTCTAAAGGTTGATGTTTTTATTTTTACCCAAATTGGTTTTTTTAAAAACATTTTATCATTTCATAATACATCTTTAGTTGGTTATTTTGTCTCTTTTAGTACAAAAATAATGTATTCTAGGGACACATTTACCATAAGCCATACCAAAATTATGCTGGTTTTTGCTCAAACTATACAAAACTTGAAAGTGTTACTTGAATGCTAGCTTCACAGTCCATTACATTGAACAGTATATGTAATCTAGGCGTTTTAGTTCTAGGAACTTTAATGCATGGATATGTAGAGCATGGTTATCTGCTGGGAACATTTAAATAATCGGAGGAATATAAACAGTGTGGAAGTTATAGTTCCACTTCTGATATATAAGACATAATGGGAAACACTCAAATAACTGGAGAGATAAGTGAAATGATCACAATAATGAACAGAGAAGATTGTTTCAGATTTTGAAAAAGACAGCAACCAGATTTATTAATCTTTGCATTAATTCAGATCATTTGAGGTTATATATTAGAAGACCAGCATGACATCGTGGGAAGAATTACTGCTGTTAAACTAACAAGTTGTGTGACCATGACCAAAATCATTTAATCTTCTGAGTCTTAGTTTCTTCATCTGCAAAATAAGTAGATTGGACTAGACATATTCCACAGGACTTTCCAGTTCTGACATTATATGAGGAGACATAAGCCTCCCTCTTAATTAAAGGGATATGTCTAGAAGTCTGGTATCCAGAAGGCTTAAGGTTTTTGATAATCCAAATTGTGAAGGAAATGGGTTTTACAGATGATCCTGTAACCCACGGGGAATTTGGCACTCAGCAGACTATGACTAAAAGGATTTCAGGGAAACATTGGAGCCTAGTTGATATTAGACAGAATGATGTAGTATTAGACACCCTTCCCAACCCCAACCCCCTACTTCCAGTTCAACATTAGAATTGGGTTCCAGTCCAGGTCCATGCTGATATCAAGCAAGTATACTTTTGCAACCTATTTCAGATACCATTCTTTTTGTTTGTTTGTTTGTTTTGCAAGGTATTCAGGGTTAAGTGACTTGCCAAGGGTTACACAGCTAGTAAGTGTCAAATGTCTGAGGCTGGATTTGAACTCAGGTCTTCCTGACTCCAGGTCCCGTGCTCTATCCACTGTGCTACCTACCTGCCCTCTCCGATACTATTCTTAATTGGATATGTTGCTTGTATTAATTACATTGTAAGTAAGGACTATTTACTGTAGTTTTTCATCTTATGTCTAGTGCCTTACAATTAGTTCTTCATAAATATTTGTTGAATTGACTAATTAATGATTCTGGCCATCTTTCATTCAGCAAGCAAACATTCATGAAGCTCCCTATTATGTACAAGGCAAAGACAAAAAGGGAACAGCTGCCTTGAAGGAGTTTACACTTTATTGGGTGGAAATGGTTTGCACATTTATTGGGCAGTGACATACACACAGATAAGTAAATGCAAAATATATACAAAATAGTACAAAGTAGGGGTTTTTGGTGGGCAGAACATCAGCCAAGCTGCTGGGGGGGATCAGGATAAGCCTCATTTAGGAGGCTGAACTTCAGCCTTGAAAGAAACTAGAGATTGTAGTGCAGCCCCCTCATTTTACTCATGAGCCAACTTAGGTAGTAAATGACAGTGGCAAGTTTTGAACCTGGGTGTTCTGATTCCAAAATCACTCCTTTATCTCCAAACTCATCCCTATTTTGAATTTCCTTATTACTATTAAGGGTGCTATCATCTTTCTAGTCACCTAGATTTGCAATCTTAGTGTCATCTTTAGCTCCTTATTCTCATTCATCCTGCATTTCCAATCACTTGCCACATCTAAAAATTTCTTTCTCTACAGTATCTTTTGAATATATTTCCTTTCCATTCATACACAGCCACAATCTTATTTCAGGCCTTAGTCATCTCTGGCCTAGACTATTATAATGGTATTCGAATTGGTCTCCCTGTCTCCAGTCTTTCCCCACAATCTATCCTCCACACAGCTGCCAAAATGATTTTCTAAAAACATAGGTCTGGCCAGGTCACTCCCTTACTCAGCAGTTTCCAATGGCTCCCCAATACTTCCAAGATCAAATATTACTTTCTCTATTTAGCATTTAAACATCTTCACAACCCAGCCCCTTCTAATCCTTCAGTCTTCTTACACATTACTCTCCTCTACATACGTTACCATTAAGTCATATTGGCCTACTTGTTCCTTACATTCCTGACCTCCCTCTTCCATCTCCATGCCATTGTACTGGTTTTCCTCCATACTAGAAATACTCTCTTGACTCATGTTGGCCTCTTAGTTTCCCTGGCTTCCTTTAGGACTCAACTTCTGCCAGTAGCTTTTCCCAGTTTCCTGACCTGCCACTACTGCCTTTCTCTCTAAAGCTTCCTTCCATCTACTTTATGTATCTCATGTACCAGTTTATGTACTTGTCTTCCCCACAGAAATGCAAACTCTTTAGAGAGGGAGCATTGTTTTGTGTTTGTGTTCTGAACCCAGCATTAAGTAAAATGTCTCACATATTGTAAGGGCTTAATAAATGTGTATTGACTGGTTAAATG